TACGGTTGGTGGCAAACCAGTTTCCCTACCGGGATTAATAAATTTTCTATCTATCTATCTATGATAGTTTTGTCATGCTTATTTGAGTTAAGAGAACTGATGGGGATGTTCTTTTAATTGTTATTCATGCAATGTATATCTCGTGACCAACTCACTCAGGAACGGTGTAGTTATTATAACTGCCGATACCGATAGTTTGAAAATGCCTAATATCAGCCGATAATATCGGTCTGCCGATATATCGGTCTGGCTCTAACCTGTAAAACTAAAGCTTTTTATAGACCTTCTCAACAATAAAATTATTAATATAACACTCCAATGCATAGTTAAGGCCCTTTAGGTGACTTCGAGATGATATATAATCTTTCTGTCTCCAAAAATCAACAATTGCCTCCTGTGAAATGTCTACTACTGTATGTGACAGCCGCCATAGCGCCTGTCCCCGAATGTTGACTGTTTGTCCGAGTGAGTGGAGGGGGCGTGGCTTAGCCATAGGTCAATTCTGATATTTGTTCATGGTATTCCACTGCAACAAAATGTTTTGCAAAAAGACAGAATAAATATGTTTGATATCTAAATGTTTGACTTTGGGAATCGGTGAGAATCCGAATCCAAATTGCTAAAATTCAAATGATACCCAACCCTATTGATAATAAGAAGCACCAATCAGCATATTAGAGTTATTCCTAAAAAGTATTCCTATGTGACACTGAAGACAAGAGTAATAAAATATTTCGTGCAAAAACATTAGAAAATCGTACTGACCCCAAACTTCTGAGTGGCACGGTTCTCACCCTCATGTTGTTCCAAACATGTCTGACTTTCTTTCTTCTGTGGAACCCAAAAGAAGACATTATGAAGAATGTTTCAACTGTTTTTTGTTGAAAACAAAATTGGACCCCACTTAAATTGTATGAAGGGAAAACATTTACTTCTATGTTCTGAAAACTAGTTTTAAATGAAGAGATCTGTGTAATAAGTAACCAATTGGCATAAACACTCTCAGACAGTATTTTTTGGAGAAGCAAACTACAAAGCCTTCTCTGCATTTGTTAAAAACCCGCACACACACATAAAGACATGAGCTCTTGGCTTGGTTACTGTTGACATGCTCACTGGTCCTTATCTGAGATACGACAGGAATGTCAGAGGATTCGTTGTCTGCTCCAGAGAATTCATAAACAAGAAAACAACAAACAAAGTAAACACATCAGATGACCCATCACAGATCTGACATCTCACTCCAGACCTTTACTTGATCCGACTTTGAAATCGAGCATTCGAAAGGTTTCACTCCGAAAAGAGCGAATGAAAGAAAGCCGTAAAGGACAGAGAAAAAGAAATAGGTTAGGGGAAGAAAGGAAGAGAAGAATGAATGACGACAGACACATTTGACCTTTCTCTGTTCTGCACTTTTGAGTCCTCAATTCCAGACAGAAGACCCAGACAATCGCATTTGACTTCCCTTCCTGTCTTTGAGCGATGGTGAAGTCAAACAAATACAGAGAGTACATTGTTTTAAAAAGATAATAACATTTTTTCAAATGAATTATGAAATAAAAAATGTCATGACAGTGAACAGACTGCAGAAGGATGAAAGGCAGTCGTGTGCATGCTTTCTGTATCCTGGCAGTTGAACATGCCCACCAAGAACTAAATATAGCATCGGTCTGAAAGAGCAGCTATCAGCACCAGTGTGATGCTGATTGGACAGACAGTCATGATGACAGTGGAGGAATTACATCAGACGACTTACTGCTCCTCAACATTGCATAGCAATCACAAGTATGCTCTCTATTTAAGGTTGAACCGCAATGAGATCACAGGTGTCATACAGTATAATCTGCCCTGTCTAGAGAGGATGGGTTCTGTTGAGACAGCCCTTACTCGGTCCTTTATTGGCAGAACAAATAAAATCCTGGAAATGGGCAAATGGAGCATTTACAGTCCTGGGCTGCGTTTCACAAAAGCATTGTAAGCTTAAAGGAGTAGTTCACTTAAAAAAAAAAAAAAAAAAAAACTCTTGCTGATAATTTACTCATCCCTATGTCATCCAAGATGTCTATGTCTTTCTTTCTTTAGTCGAAAAGAAATTAAGGTTTTTGATGAAAACATTCCAGGATTTTCTCCATATAATGGACTTCAATGGGAACCAAATGGTTCAAGGTCTAAATGAGAGTTTCAGTGCAGCTTCAAAGGGCTTTAAACGACACCAGACGATGAATAAGGGTCTTATCTAGTGAAACGATCGGTCATTTAAAAAAATAAATAACAAAGTTTAAGCTTTATAAGCACAAATGCTCTCCTTGCTCTGTTCTGTGACGAGCGTTCGTGACTCTCCTGTTCAAACTCGTTCATCAAAATGAACAGATTTGTTTTTGAGTCATGACTCGAAGGGTCCTAGATAAGACCCTTATTCACCGTCTGGTGTTGTTTAAAGCCCTTTGAAGCTGCACTGAAACTGCCTTTTGGATCGTGAACCGTTTGGTTCCCATTGAAGTCGATTATATGGAGAAAATCCTGGAATGTTTTCATCAAAAACTTTAAGTTCTTTTCGACTGAATAAAGAAAGACGTGGACATCTTGGATGACATGGGGGTGAGTAAATTATCAGCAAAGTTTTTTTTTTTTTTTTTTTTTTTAAGTGAACTACTCCTTTAAAAGTAGATTGTGGAACCAGTCGCTCTAATTTAGCTCATTATATTATTGTCATAATTATTGGCATGCTTTAATAAATATGAGCAAAGAAGGCTGCATATCTTTCATTCAAAAAAATAAAAGATTAAGGCAACGTATTTTCGATGGAACAACATTTTTTTATTTAAATTTGAGATTTCCCCCCATTTTTAATTGATTTACTTCAAAGAAAGGTTAGATTTCGTTTTTTGTGAATTATTGCACATTTCAGCATCTTCTGTGCACATATTTACTAAGGGAGCCAATAATTCTGAACAGGACAGGGAGCTATTAGATGAAAGAAGCACACGAACAGATTAAAAATTCTGAAAGAAAGTATCTCTTAGTTCTGAGCAGGGAATGAATGAATGGAAAAATCACCAGCACAAGGAAGATAGAGAGAAGAGAGTTTGTTTGTCAGCAGATTTCCACAGACAGGAGCCCACACACACTGACTGACTGCACAGCCTCTTTTCTACAGATGCCTGAACTAGTAAGTCAGCAGTCAGTCAAGTAGAGAAAGCACCCATTCGTCTCTGAGGCGAGGGTGGAGAACGAGTGGAGAAAAAAAAGCAAGGAATATCCTCTTCCGAGAACTTTTAAGAATGATCAAACATGTTTAAAACTCAAACTGAATGCTAGGCAAGCTCTGACTCACACACACACACACACACATAAAAAGTCACAAAAACACTTTGAACTTCTGCCGACAGTAAAAGTCATTTCAGGCGTTTTAAATGATCAAATTGCTATCCTATACATATATATCAAATTGCTATCCTATATCCTATACAAGTGTACATATCCCATTTACATATCTTACAAATGGTTAACTATTTGATCGATAAAACACAAAGTGTCCAAGTGCAAATGTCGGCAAAACCGCAAAAATGCAAACAAATGGCATTCCAGACCTTTCACACAGATTGGGAATCTGATCACGTAATTTGATTCCATTATGATGTCGAGCAGATCCAGGCCATTATGAATGCATTATAGAGGCGTTTCATTCAGTTAAGGGGATCTGAGTGTGGCTGTGAATGACAGTGTATTTCACAGCACAACTGCCTCTGTTTATGCAACACGCCAACAGAAGGAAGGGGCATATGCTCATTTTGATGACCAATCTCTCCATTGTCTTTCTGTTTGATTTATT